TTTCCTATGTACACGGCTACGTTATCTGAAAACATTGCCATTTCTGAATGCCTTTTTGGTCCTTTTACCCCTAAAGGTTCTAGCTGGGAGGCAGGAGTGCCAGTGGAAGGAAGTAGCTCAGGGAAGCCCTTGTTTTGTTTTCCGTCTTTTTCTTTTTTTAATTTTTTATTCACCTTTTGGGGGGGGGAGGGGCAGAGAGAATCCGAAGCAGGCTCTAGGCTCCAGCTCTCAGCATGGAGCCTGACGCTGGGCTCGAACCCACGAACTGTGAGATCACGACCCGAGCCAAAGTCGGACACTTAACCAACTGAGCCACCCAGGCGCCCCTGTTTTCCGTCTTAAAAGAGCATTTTTAACGTCTAGGATGATGCGTGATGCCTCCTGTCCATTGTCGGCAGCGTGTAGCCTTTGTTACATGAAGGGAGACTGTTCCTAATGTAAGATTGCCAAGTTTTTTTTTAAAGCATAAGTGGCATGTTGAAGTTTATCAATACTTTTTCCCCACACTTGTCGAGTTGATCATATAATTCTCTTCCTTCGGTCTGTTACCGGGGTGAATTAAGCTGACTTCCGATGCTAAGTAAACGCGCCGTGGTCCTAAAGTTTTATGCCGTGTTGACACTGCGGATCCAGGCCAACGATGCCTCTCTCTGCATTTTCGTGTCTGCGCTCTGAGCGACAGGAGCTCCCCGTCTCCGGTCTCCGCTGTCGGTGTCGGGCTCTGGTGACGAAGGCTGCGTGAGCCCCACGAGAGAAGTCCGGACCTGCCTGTCCCTCCGGGAGGGGGTGCGTGTGAACCCAGTGGTCTGCGCCTGGCGTGTTTCCCACAACTGGATGGGGAAGCCTCTGAGCCTGGAGTGTTCTTCCTGGGAATGCATTTGACTATTGATTGAGTTTCTTTTATGTTTATGGGACTTTGGAAGGTTTTTTTGGTCAAACAATTCTGATTAGTAATATTTCTCTAATAATTTGTCCGTTGTCTGCATTTTCAAATTTACTGGCATAAAGTTGTTCATGACTTCTTTAGTTTTTAATGTTTTCCTGACATATTTATCAATTTTAGTCTTTTAAAAATACAAACTCTTGGTTTCCAGGAACATCTCGATCACATACGTTCGTTTCTGTTGCATGAATTGTTAATATTTTCAATCTGCTTTCTTCCACTTTCTTTGGGTTCATCTCGCAGTTCTTTCTGTAGCCACTCGAACTGGATGTTTCGTGCATTAACTTTTAGCCTTTTCCTAATGCCGTATATGTGTGAAGTTCAGGAGTTTGCTCTGCGTGGGGTCAGCTGCGCTATGGTTGATTGGAGCTACTGTCCTTGTAACTCAGCTCAAAGTATTTTACTGTTTCCAGCATGATTTTTTTCCCTTGACCCATGGGTTATTTAGAAGCATGTTTCTTATTTTCTAGAAATACTTCTCTATTTGTTATTGATTTGGGCTGGTGACTTTTGGTCAGAGAACAAGCTTTTTGTGATTGTTTTTATTGAGGAATAATTGGCATACGATATTAATATTGTGTTTGTTTCAGGTCCACCCCGTAGTGATTTGATATTGTACATTGCAGAGTCACCACCGTGACAAGTGTAGTCACCGTCTGCCACCACACAAAGCTGTCACAGTATAACTGACTATGTTCCTTATGCTGTACAAAGCCTTGTACATTTTAGTCTCTTAAAATCTATTGAGACCTGCTTCGGGCCCAGGAGACGGCTTTTGTAAATATTCAGTGTGTGCCTTCAGGGAGCACTTACAATTCTGTCGCTGGTATGCTCTCTGTATGTCTGTCACGTTCAGTTTGTTAATGATGTCGAGTGTCATTAATGACTTCTGCTATCTGCTTTTGTTATCAGTTCCTGAGAGCGGTGTGTGAAATTTTCCCACGAGAGTTTGCATTTTGACTTCTTCCTTGTTCTGTCGATCTGTGCCGTTTCCTCTGTGACTCCATTAGTGAACACACGTGGATGTAAAATTGTCGCTTCGGGATGCCGGGGTGGCTCAGTCAGTTGAACGTCTGACTTTGGCTCAGGTCAAGGCCCCACAGTTCATGGGTTTGAGCCCTGCATCGAGCTCTGTGCTGACAACTCGGAGCCTGGAACCTGCTTTGGATTCTGTGTCTCCCTCTCTCTCTCTCTCTGCCCCTCTGCCACTTGCCCTCTGTCTCTCTCTCTCTCTCAAAAATAAATAAACATTAAAAAAATTTCAGTGCTTCTGTAAGCTTGTGTTTTAGATGTCTCTCCAATAGTGGACAGTTAGATTTTTTGGTTATTGCTATGGGTCTTTTAATCCAATTTAAAAGGAGACCTTTTTTTTTTGTTTTTTTTGTTTTTTTGTTTTTTTTGTTACACCTTGGCCCTTTCACCTGTTTATAATCTTGCCTTCACTTAGATTTTGACCTGATGATTTCTTACTTTCTAGTCAATTCTTCAAGGTTCTTAAGGCAATTAACATACAATTTTATGCGGCATTTGTGGTTATTTTTAGTGTGATGGCTGGCACGCTGGACAGCCACATGCCTAAAATGGAAATGGAAGTTCCAACTGCTTCTTACGCACGTTTTAGCAAATCCGTTTCCGATTCTACTTCATCCCCATAGACACGGAGTTCTGGGGCCTTCCACGGGCAGTGGGGCGCACGTGGGTTTTTATGGCTCAAGTTTTCCCCTGGAGGTCGGTCCGTACCTCTGCCTGCAGGGCTGCTACCGCCTCACACTCCCGGCTTCTGTTTTGTTCAAACTGTTTATTCTGCCATTTGCCGTGTCCTTGTAGATGCGTGTGTTGAAAAAACTGAATCCTTCTGCTGTGGTTTTAGTGAGAATTTAAGAGGCATCAGAGGCTCCCTGTCTGGAACTGCCCTGTTTCACTGGACATTCAAAGTGCATGTGGTTCAGCGGCACCTGGTGGCTCAGTCTGTTGAGCGTGTGACTCTTGATTTCATCTCAGGTCATGATCTCGTGGTTCGTGAGATCGAGCCCCATGTCGGGATCTGCGCTGACAGCATGGAGCCTGCTTGGGATTCATTCTCTCCCTCTCCCTCTCCCTCTCTCTCCCTCTCTCTCTCTCTCTCTCTCTCTCTCTCTCTCAAAGTAAATAAATAAACATTAAAAAAACAAGAAGTGTCGGGGCACCTGGGTGGCTCAGTCAGTTAAGCGTCCGACTTCGGCCCAGGTCATGATCTCGCGGTCTGTGAGTTCGAGCCCCGCATCGGGCTCTGTGCTGACGGCTCGGGGCCTGGAGCTGCTTCGGACTCTGTGTCTCCCTCTCTCTGCCCCTCCCCCACTCGTGCTCTGTCTCTCTCTATCAAAAATAAATAAAATGTAAAAAAAAATTTAAAAAAGAAGTGTATGTGGTTTAATGTCATCTTCAGTGGAACTGTATGTGTGATGATCCACCTCGTACCAGGCTGCCATCCGTCCGGGGGACAATTGAGCTGCGCTGTGATGAGCACATGGAGTTCATGAGCACGAGCAGAACAGACTCGGCCACTTTGTAAATATGTTCTAAAAGCTCTGCCATTCACAGATGGGGGGGGTTAATAGGTTTTCTCAAGTGGGAGGAATATTGTTGGCATTTGACAAGATGCCTTGAAATTTTGCCTCTCAGAACTGTAATGCGTGATTGTTTCTTTGCAGCATTTTTAAAAAGGAATCGCTGGCCTTGACTTATTATTGATTCATCCAGGAAACATTATTAGGCTTTGAAAATATTTTTCAGTCAATTATTCCGAAGCAATTGTAAAGTGAAACATGAAAGACAAATTCATCTACAATTGTAGCATCTCCTACATAATATCAACATTCCGCACGGAGTTCTGGGCAGGCAGGCTCCTAAGGTCCCTCAAAGAACTAAAGCGTGAGGGATGTTCTGAAATTCCTTAAGGGTTGCTTCTGACCTGCCCCGTAACACGCGACGTGCTATATAGCACGCACATCCCGAAGGTTCATTTGGATGAGGTTTGATCATCACGTGTGCAACCACCGCTAGAAATGATGCAGAACACCCCCCACCCCACTGTGCCCCTCGCGCCCCTCCCACTCCTTGCCTTTGACCCCAGATCCACGGCCGCCGGCAGGTAGTTTTGCCTGAATGGGGGTTTCCCGGTTCTCTTCCGTGTGTGGCTTCCTTCACCTCCGGCGAGGCTCCTGAGACACGCTCGTGCGCATCCGTTCGGTTCCTTCTTGTTCCCGAGCAGCAGCACGTGCTCACGATGACGGGCGCTTGGGTTGTTTCCCGGCTGGGGGCCCTCTGGGTAAACACTCGTGTGCCAGGTTGTTTGAGGGATGTGTTCTGGTTTCTCCCGGGCACGTCCTGGAGGAGGATTTCCGGGTCACGTGCTGGGCCAGTGTTCATATTTTCGATTTGGGGCGTTCTCACAGGTGTGCAGCAGTGTCTCGTGATGGTCTTACTTCACGTTTCCCCGGGGACTGATGCTGCGGCGCAAAGTGTCACAAGCTCGTTGGCCATTTGTGTATCTCCTCTTGCCACGTCTGTTCTAAAATTCCTGCCCCTTTTCAGTCGGAGTTTGGACTTTATGTTGTTGATGTTTAGGGGCTCTTTATATATTCTGGATATACGACTGTTGTCAGATTTCTCTGTTGCGGATGTTTTCTCCTAGTCTGGGCTTGTCCATTTTCTTTTCTTCTTTTTTACAAAAGTTTATTTATTTATTTTGAGAGAGAGAGGGAGGGAGGGAGCGTGCGCCTGGGAGGGACAGAGAGAGAGGGAAGGAGGGAGAATCCTTAGCAGGCTCTGCGCTGTCACCACAGAGCCCATTGTGGGGCTTGAGCCCACAAACCATGAGATCATAACCTGAGCCAAAGCCAAGAGGTGGGTGCTAAACTGACTGAGCCACCCAGGTGCCCCTCATCCATTTTCTTAATGTCTTTTTACAAGAGAAATTGTTAATTCGTATGAAATCCGATATTTATGTTTTTTAACTATGATCCTATTCATCTATACCTGTTACAATTTTTTTTGTAGCTAATTTCTGCTTTCCAAGATGGAAGAAGACGCTAACCAGTTCCCTACGAAGGAGCTTTTGGACAATGTCCCAATTGTGGAAGATGGTAATAAAAGTCTTTTCACAGATAACGGGTGTTTTGGCAACAATGAAGATAAATGATGTGCTTTATAGTTTCCCTGAATTCCTTTTCTTTAGAAAGACTGTATCTTTTAGCCTTATTTTTTTTCCTCAAAGTTTATATCATTCTGTCTTTAGTTGGAAAAAAAAAGATAAATTATGGCCGAGATTCTTGAAAGCGACAGATTATAGTTTTCTCGTTTCCAGCGTCTCTATTGAGAAATAGGATGCCATTTTTATCCCTTTGATTGTGACCTATTTTGGTTTTCTTTCCCTAGAAGTTTATAGATTTAAAAATAATCCGATAATCCAAGATAGGCCTTGATTTGGGCTAGTGCTGGACACCAGGCGAGACAATCAAACCTGGACTAGTTTCCTCAGTTCTCCATCTAACTGCAGCGCGGCTCGTTTCTCAGTTTCTGAGCTGTGGTGAGGTGAGGTGAAGCGTGAGGTGACGTGTGGTTAGGTAGGTGGGGTGAGGAACTGTGAGGTGAGGTGAGGTGTGGTGAGGTAAGGTGTGGTGAAGTGAAGTGAGGTAAGTTGTGGTTAGGTGTTGTGGTTAGACGAGGTGAGGTGTGGTGAGGTGAGCTGAGGAGTTGTAAGGTGAGGTGATGTGTGGTGAGCTGAGGTGAGGTGAGGTGAGGTATGGTATTTGTGACGTTTGGTGAGGTGAAGTGAGGTGAGGTACGGTAAGGTGAGGTGTGGTGAGGGGAGGCACAATGAGGTGAGGTGAGGTGTGGTGAGGTGAGGTGAGGTGAGGTGAGGTGAGGTGAGGAGTTGTGAGATGAGTTATGGTGTAGTGACGTGAGGTGATGTGTGGTGAGCTGGGGTGAGAGGTGAGGTGAGGTGTGGTGAGGTGAAGTGGGATATGGTGAGGTGAGTGAGGTGAGGTGTGTTGAGATGAGACGTGTGGTATGCTATGATGTCGTTTGTGGTGTTGTGAGGGTTAGGTGTGGTGAGGTGAGATGAAAGGGGAGAGGTGAGTTTGGTGAGGGGAGGTGTGGTGAGGTAAGGTGTGGTGAGGTGAAGTGAGGTAAGTTGTGGTTAGGTGTTGTGGTTAGATGAGGTGAGGTGTGGTGAGGTGAGCTGAGGAGTTGTAAGGTGAGGTGATGTGTGGTGAGCTGAGGTGAGGTGAGGTGAGGTGAGGTGAGGTTGGTGAGATGAGAAGAGGTGAGGTGTGGCGAGATAAGCTGAAGTGAGGCGCGGTGCTTTGAGGTGAAGTGTGGTGAGCTGAGCTGTGGTGAAGTGTTGTAAGGAGAAGTGAGGTGTGGTGAGGTGTGGTACAGTGAGGTGAGTTGTGGCGAGATGAGGTGAGATACGGTGAGGTGAAGTCAGCTGAGGTGCAGTGAGCGTAGTGAGGTGAGGTGAGGCGAGGCGTGGTGAGGGGAGGTTGGTGAGGTGAGAAGAGGTAAGGTGTGGCAAGGCAAGCTGAGGTGAGGAGTTGTGAGGTGAGGTATGGGGGGAGGTAGTAAATTCGTCCCCACCTTGCCGTCTTCCCAAACGTATAGGCTTTTTGTCTACTCTCTTCCTCCTGTACTCCTTGTGATTTTCACTGACGCCTTGTTGAATTCCTTTGTAGTCATTTTCACTGAGATTTAATGAAGGGGAGAGAGAAATTGCATAAGTTCGATTGGCCATGTTTGGCTCGAAGTCTACAGTGATTCTCTAAGATAATAATTCTCAAACTTTTTTGTCAGAGAACCCCTTTACATTCTTAAAAATCGTTGCAACCAGAAAGTGTTTTTTCTGTCGGTTACTATTTTTTGTTTAACTTTTTAATGTTTCTTTATTTTTGAGAGAGAGACAGAGCGTGAGCAGGGGAGGGGCAGAGAGAGAGGGAGACAGAATCTGAAGCAGGCTGCAGGCTC